ATTTTTTTTGTTTTGTTGTGCGTGTGTGCGTGTGTGCATGCGTGTGTGTTTTGTTTTGCTTTTGGTACTGGGGATCGAACTCAGGACCTTGTGCTGGTGAGGCAGGTGTGGTGCCACTGAGGTAAATCCCCAGCCCTGCCACTAAAAGTTTTTGATGAAAAAATCACCATTACATTAGTGGTGTTTAACAGAGATTAATCTGACCCTAGTATTCATTCAACAAAAATTTAAAGTGCATACATTATCCTTGCGTTACTGGAATATGACTGTGGAAAAGGAGCTGGCCCTGCCTTGAGGGAGAGTGGGAGTGGAAAGCGCGTTCATATACACATATGACATGCTGTGCCAAATTGGAAATAAAATTTTCATTCAGGGAAGTGAATTCTGAGGACTAGAGGCAGGGGATCGGCAGAGGCTTCTTGGAAAAGGAATTATTTTAGTTGTCTTTTGAATGAGGATTTTAGTGGATGAAGAAGTTAGGAAAGAAGGCTGGAGAAATAGAATTAGCAAAAGGACGGACAAGAGTGCTTTTCTTATTTTGGTGAATAATGATGTCATAGATGATATGGATACTTTGATACAGTGTTTGAATTGGTCAGTTTACGGTGATTATGTTGAAGAATTTGTAGTTTATCCTGTGTATGTGGGGATGCTAAAAAAGATTTTTGAGCAGGGAAGTAACCTTTTCAGAATGGTTCTGACAGAAGTATGTACTAGCTCATGTCAGATGCAGATTAGGCAAGAATATTAGGAATGGTCTCAATACTAATAGCACTGTTAGAGATGTTGAGGATCTGGGAATGCAAAAACAGTCAGACTATTAAAATAGATGATTCAAAGGAAAGTTTTAGTATGGAAATCGGTTAGATATGCTGAAAGGAAAAAAAATGAGCAAAAGCTAATTCTGAGGACTTAAGTCTGGTATTTAAAAAGTTGGGAGGAAAATTTAAATGGTAAAAAATGTATTGATTTTCAATTTATCATCTGAGTTGCTTTTTATGTGATCATTTTTTCTTTCTTAATTCATCCCCAGTTACTTCTGATGACGTTTTATCCAGTACATATCCCAGACATCTCAGGCATGAAATAAGCAGTATTCCATTTTTTTACTTTGCTGTAACCAAACATCTATTATTATCTGCCACAGCAATCTTTCCTTTTTTAACTTTACTCTGAGATTCGTTCTGCCCCTTTTAATTCTTCACAGGTAAGCTAGGCTAGGAAATAACTATGCTAGTTAATATAAAAGGTAACAGATAATAGAATCTTTTTCAGAAATATTTCAGTATGATACTGCTATATTGCAGAATGTTGTTACTCTGGAATTACAGCCACATTCTGTTGAAACATTGGGAGTTGTTGAGAATGAGTTATTCTGAGCATCCAGATTTGCTTAGAGTTGGCTTACAATTAAGTGATGGGAAATATAATATGAGATATATATGGGGGGGGCACCAGGGTTTGAATTCAAGTCCTTGCACTTGTGAGGCAAGGCACCGGAACCACTGAGCTAAATCCCTGCTCTGTTCTAATTATATTTGATGTAGATTTTCTCCTTAAGATTTAGCTTTTATTTATCTGACTTTATCCCCATTTCTTAACAAGTGTTACTCTACATTTAACTTAATATTTATTTTGAAATGATTTCAGATGTATAGAAAAGTTGAAAGAATAGTGCAAAGAATTCCCTTATGCCCTTCACATAGATTGACCAATGTTAGAAAGTGCAGATATGGTAACATTTTATGTATACACATACTCGTATACATCCATTTTCTTATTATTTTCCTTGAGCCATTTGAAATTTACAGTGTCCCTTCACTCCTGAATGTTTCAGTGCATGTTTCCGAAAAACCTAGACAGTGTCCTAAAAACCGCAGGACAAATTGTCCAAATCAGGAAATTGAAAGGATAAACCATACTTTCCCCCTGTAGTAGAATGCTGTCACAATAAAAGAGAAACACTGGTTTATTCAACAACACAGATAGATCTCAGATGTGTTGTGATAAAGTGAAGAAAAACAGATACAAAAGCTTGTATGCTATGTGATTCAATCTATATGACATTCTGGGAAAACCAAATTACTGGGTTTAAGAAAACAGTCACTGGTTTTCAGTGGTGATGGGAGAGTGTTGACTGTAAAAGAGCATTACAAGGGAATCTAAGGAATGATAGAATTGTTTCCTACTTTGATTATGGTAGAGTTATACAATTGCATACTTTTGTCAAAACTCGTAAAATGATATACCAAAAAGAGTAAATTTTCCTGTAAGTAAATTTTAAAAGTGGGGAAACAATCTGGAATTTGATATGGATACATATAGTGTTGTTAGTTCATCTACAGGTGTTGCTCAGGTTTTTTCCAGTTGCCTCAGTAAGTCCTTTTTATGAAAAAAGAAACTCTTAAATCACAAAATTGTTATGTCTCTTTGATTTCCTATAATCTAAAACACTCTCTGTTGTTCAGAACACTCCTGTAATTCTATTACTTTGTAATTTGTAATTTTCATTTTGGGTTAGTCTGACATTTTCCTATGAGTAGATTTAGGTTTTATATTTATGGCAAGGATACCCTAGAGGTAACACTATTTTTTTCTCATTACATCATATCAGGTGGCACATAATGTTAGGGTGGTGTCTGCCAGATTCTCCACTGTAAGGTCACTCTTTTCCCTTTGTAGCTATTAAATGTCTTATGAGGAAATACTCTGAGAGTGTACAGCTACCCTGTCACTTGTAAAACTTTCACCTGCTAATTTTAGCATCCAAAAATGGTTCTTGCTTATATCAACCAGTTACTCTCAAATAGAATTTATTAGACAGATTTTAACTTGTTGGCCCAGGCAGTTAAGTACATTGTTTATTGCAGTTCCTCATAGATGAGGGTGCAAGGAGTGACTGTTGGTGAGCACTCCCTAGTGATGTGGGAGAGCCTCTGAGGTGACCACTGCCTCATCATTCCCAGCCACCCTTCCCTGGCATTCGGCATCTTCTCTCCACTGTTAGTAGGGTACCTATTTCTTAGCCCTGACAGCCTGTTAATATTTCTACCTCTCTTTTATGTAACAACAACTTTGGGTTTTTTGTTCTGATTTTTCATGATGGATGGCCCAGAGAAAAAATGTTGAGTTGATCTATCTAACAAGAGTTAGAACTAGGCAAAACAGTATTTTTCTTCCTTTTTCTCATTTGTTGCGTTATTCTTAATACTACTTTGTTTTCCTCGTTTGTCATGTTTTATAGTCATCAAGAGAGAAAAAGAAGTTAGAACTCTGAAGTTGTTGAGTTTCCTCCCTTTTCTTGTCATCTAGCATATTTTTCTTCTTTGTCTTAATTTTAGGGTCCTTTACCATAAAGTGATCATCACAGATGTAAAATACTAAGTTAAACCCCATGTGAGATAGATTTCTAACCAAAAGGAACACCTTAGGATCCTGGTGTGCCAAGCCAACAAATGGTGATGTACAGAGCAAAGGTGCTAGCTAGCCACAGTGGCGAGGGCCTTAAATGATAGTGCACTTTCATCTTGCAGTATCTTTAAAATATACCTGACATAACTAGGAAAGCACTAACTAATGTTTAAGTTTAAAACAGTAATGACTAGAGTAGTTTCATACTTGTATGAAAATATTTAGATAAGCGCACATAGGAAATAATTTCTGGATCTAAAAATGAAGTAATTCCTCACTTAGAATGTGATGACTATATCTAACACAATGAATATATCACCAGCAAATTTTAAAATGTTAACGTTAGAAATGTAGTTAGAAATAGAAGCCAAATAATATGCAGTTTGGATTTTCTGCATTTTGCTTTGCAGGTAGTGATTTACGTTATGTTCTTTCTCTTTTTTCTTCCTTTTTTTCTTTTGGTACCAGGATCAAACTCTGGACCTTGCACTTGCCAGGCAGGTGCGGTGCCACTGAGCTAAATCTTCAGTCCTACATTATGTTGACTAACACATTTTTAGCACTTATTTTGGTACCGGGAATTGAACTTGGGCCCTTGCGCTTGAGAGGCAGGCACCCACTGAGCTAAATCCCCAGCCCGTTTTTTGTTTGTTTTTTGAGACAGGGTCTCACTATGTAGTTGAGACTGACCTGGAACTCACTGTGTAGTCCATGCTGGTCTCGAACTCACAGTGATCCTCCTGCCTCAGCTTCCTGAGTGCTGGGATTACAGGCGTGTGCCACCACGCACAGTTTGAGCTCAATTTTTAATTATTGGTGTTTTTGGGAGGTTTTTTTGTTTTGTTTTTTTCTCTTCATAATATATAAAAATCTAATGCTGGGGATTTAGCTTAATGGTTCTGCTGCCTGCCTCACAAGTAAGTGCAAGGACCCAAGTTTGATCCCTGGTACGAAAAAAAAAACCTCATTGGCAGTTTAGAGTTTTCTAGTAGCCAAGTTAAAGTGATAGTGACAAGGAATGGACTCTAAACTACTAGTTAATTGTTTTATGCTAAGAACTATGCTACCTTAAGAAAAGAAAATCAAATCTGAGGAGAGGAAGAGGAAACTATTTTTTAGGACCTAGAGTTGGAGATCTGTACCACCCCAAACATTTACAGTAGTTGAAAACTAATTACCTAAAAGAAAAGGTAATCATCACAGTCTAAGTTGTCATCAGCCAAGTGTGAGCTGGAACTTTTTTGTGTCCAGTGTCAACCTGTGTCAAAGGGTGGTAAATTTGACTTTAATTAGTATGCTCTCCTGGGCGGTGTAGAAACACAGATGAAATACTTCCCACCTGTACCTGACATGCATTAATTTATATGCATGGGCATATATTTTCTTTTATATATGTGTATGTCAGTATGTATATACATCTTCAGATGAATGAATGTGTGTGTATATATATATATATATATATATGTGTGTGTATATATATATATATATATGGTGATGTAGCTTACAGAATTAAAAATGTAATTCACTTTACTCCTGCAGAATAAGATTGAAGATATGAGAACTGAATTAAAGCTTACTTTCTTTCACAGAATTCCTCAGAGAGAGAAGACTGTAATAATGGCGAACCCCCTAGGAAGATAATACCAGAGAAGAATTCACTTAGACAGGTATGAAATTCAGACTTACTTAAAAATAAAAGGCTACGAACAGCAAAACAAAAGACAGGAAGTCTTCAGTTTGCCATTCTTGAAACATTGGAGCTTAAAGTGAGAGTTCTGTCCTCTACAGTTGGTCCTACTGTCAGTCCAGTAACATTATTTCTCAGACATTTCAACAATGTCCTGTGTGCAGAAGTACAGGACAGTCAGTTGGTTACATGTAGTGAATATTAAAATAATAATTTTTAAAAGGTTTCCTGTTTCAGGAAAAATAAGTAAAGTTCATCTTAAGTACAGATGGTAGAATCGTTGCCTCTAAAGCCTAATTTTGCTGTTAAGATTGCTCATACATTTCAAAAAATATAATAACCAAAACAGATTTGCCTGTAATTAGCTCCTTTTATTTTGTGTTAGTAGGAGTAGACACCTCACCTCCAGTACTGGGACTAAACCCAGGGCTTCTCCTGTGCTAGGCAAGTGCTCTACTGCTGAGGTATATCGCAGTTCTTTTTTTTTGGTTTTTTGAGACAGGGTCTCACTATGTAGTTGAGACTGACCTGGAACTCACTGTGTAGCCTAGGCTGGTCCTGAACTCAGAGTGATCCTCCTGCCTCAGCCTTGCCAGTGCTAGGATTATAGGCGTGCACCATCACGCCCGAGCTTATCCCAGTCCTTTTTAAATTTTATTTGGAGACAAGCTCTAAATTGCCCAGGCTGGGTTCCAATTTGAATCCTCCTGCCTCAGCTTCTGGAGTAACTGGAATTGTAGGCGCTAACCACACCTGGATTCTTTTTTAATATTAAGGTGTCCAGGGCCAGGGATTTAGCACAGTGGTTCTGCTGCCTGCCTTGGAAGCCCAGCGAGAAAGAAAGCCGGGCGTGGTGGTGCACGTCTGTAATCCTAGAACTGGGGAGGCTGAGGCAGGAGGATTGCTGTGAGTTCGAGACCAGCCTGGGCTACATAGTGAGTTCCAGGTCAGTCTCAACCACATGGTGAGACCCTGTCTCAAAAAACCAAAAATAAATAAATAAATAAATAAATAGCAAGAAAGAAAATATTTTGACCAGTATTTTGGACAGTGTGTGTGTGTGTGTGTGTGTCTGTGTGTGTGTGTGTCTGTGTGTGTGTGTATTTAAATAAACATCTTCCTTCCGTATTGGAAACAAAAACAAGTATGTGAGTGTTGCCAGAGAATAAGGGTGTGCCACCTATTTTTGTTATGTTACTAGGAATTCAACCTAGAACCTTTGCACTGAGTTACTTTAAAAATTTTTTTTGAGAGAGGGACTTGCTAAATCACTGAGTTGCCCAGGTTGGATTCCAACTTGCATTCCTCCTACCTCAGCCTCCCAAGTGCTGGGATTACATGCATGTACCACAGCCTCCAGCCAACCTATTCATTTTAAATATAAGATTATGTAAAATGTGCTCTAGTAACAGTAAAAGTAATTTTAATTTACTTGCATTTGTGGCATTGTTCTAGGACACAGAAGAGAGATAATATTTATTGAGCACATACCATGAACATACTTGTTTAATTCACATAGTAACCCTGTAAAATTGCTAGATATAATGTGATTTTCTAATTTATAGGGTGAAGAAAATGGAGACTTGAAGAGGTTAGATGAGTTTAGGGACTCAATGATTTGAAAACCAGAACTCACAGTTACTGAAGTGTTTCTACTTCTGCCTTCTAGCTCCAGTTTTCATATTGTTAATTTAGGAAGGAAGGTACCTGAGATGGTGGCACACGTTCGTTTTTTTAATTTACTGCAATTATTTTTATAAAAATTGTTTTAAGTAGAATTGAATCAATTCAGAAAGCTTTGTAAATAAACATGTAATTGAGGTTGAAACATTTGTAAATACAGGTAAGTACTTGATCTGTAAATCTAAATCAACAGACATTATTGAATAAGGTTCATTTAGAGGTGGAAACACTGCCCACTATACAGAAACAACTAAGAAAACAGACACAACAAAAAGTTTTGGCAACTTTATTTAAGCTAAGAAACGAATTTGCACTCTGCAAAGTTATAAATTAATTTTAATAGGCTGATCCAGATGGTCCATTTGGAAAATGGATAGGCTGATCTGTTGAAAATTAAACTAAATTTATCTCTCTCATACTTCAAACTGAAGTGAGAGAGAGAATCGTGCCTATTAAGTCCAGCACATGCAGATGGACCAGCAGGTCACACATGGGACTAATCTGATTCATTTTAAAAATATATGCAAACATTATTGAATCATTTTATACTTGTAAGATCTATTGGGTGCAGTATTTGAAAGAGATTTAATGTTGTTTTTCGTTGCTGTTTTAGTAAGTTTTCTTCACTCCATTTAATTTTACCAACAAACACCCTCACCCCCCAGTCCCATGCTCCAGAATGATTTTTGAAATATCTGTCATTTGGTGTTGAGATCCAAGCTCTGGAGATTAATTAGGTCACGAGCGTACCCCCACCCTTTTGTAAAGGGCTTTATCTCCATTCTTTTTGTGAAGAGCATGAACTCAGTGTTCTTGGAAAGAGAAATGGCCTTTAGAAACAGGGAAGTAGGAGATCCTCCTGGGGCTCTCAGAGTCTTTTAGCTTCTGGGTGTTTTAACAGCTCCATGAATGCAGATTTGTAAATTTATTGCAGTGCCATCTGGTTTTTTGCTTGAACCAGATTACTGTTGGCTTGTGTCTGTCTATTGTGGTGGTCACTCCCTGGGAGCCTGCCCTCTCAATCTTAGGGAAGAGTGATGAATAGCAGGGGTCAATAGAAACGGGTCACAGGGCAGCTGTCCAAGACTGCCCTGAACTTGATTACCCCACTACTGTTTTTTTTTCCTTAGGCTGAACATAATACTATACAAGCTATTTAATCTCTTCCTTTTCTCAACTGCACTTGACAATAAGGACGAGCCATTTGCTGCCCGATTTGTTTGTTTGTTTGTTTGTTTGTTTATCCTGTAAGCAATTTCTGTGGACAAAAAGATGGTAAGGTCACCAACTTACACCTACTGTTGGTGTGAGATTGGTGTCAGATGGGTCAGTCCTTTAACTTGAGATTCTTTTGTGATATTTCTAATGGGATTTCGGGAACTCTTCATTGAATATAAAAAGTTCAGTTATGTTCTTTTTTTTTTTGTACTGGGGATCGAACTCAGGCCCTTGCAGTTACAAGGCAGGCAGCAGAACCACTGAGCTAAATCCTCAGCTTGTTCAGTGATGTTCTAACAATTTCATATTGTTTTAAACTAAATTACAGTTTGCATTTTTTACTTTAAGTAGAGTTTTGCCATTGACAGGATATGACCACATGTTAACATGGAGAGCTATTTAAATATTGGAGGAGCTGAAACAAGGGTTATCACTACAGTTTTTACATATATTAAAAGAATAATAATGGGATATGTCAAATTTGACAGCTGAGATAAAATGGGAAAATTCCTTGAAAAATATAACTTAAAACTAACACAAGGTGAGACAGTTTAAGTAGCCGTGTCTGTTAAATACATTTAATTATCAAATGATCATATGGTTTCACTGGTGATTTCAACAAACATTTGAGAAAAATAATATCAATCTCATACAAATTCTTCCTGAATAGAAATGGAAAGAATACTTCGCGACTTGTAAAGCCACAGTATAACAGCAATTCCAAACCTGCCAGACAGCACCAGAAAAGGAAATATGGAAGGCGAGCTAGGAGATGTTACTTCCTGTGTTCCCAAGTTACTTTGTAGACCTACTTTTTCATTTTATTTCCGGGTTATCAGGGCATTGTGGGCAGTAAATTGTGCATCCGTATTTTTTTTTAAGTCAATTTTTCACGGTGCCATCTCATCTTGACATTACATACAAATTTTTATTTAGAGCATATATGGAGTAGATAGGGTTTTTTTCTACTTTTCCCTTAAAAAAATTTTTTTTGGCTGTTTTCATGGCTCTGATTATTGTTACTGAGTGCAAAGGCCTGGCGCCATATGAAGGTACTCATTACTTTTTGAAAATGTTACATTACAACATTCATCTCCTCTCTGCTTCACATGGGTACTAATCGGATCTGTCAGCCCTGCCTTTCTCTGTAATTGAGTAAATTGTGAATGCTGTCTAATCCTTCTCCCATCCCCCATTGCTTTTGTGTATGTGTCCACTTTCCATCCTGGGAACGTGGGCAGTGATAAATAAAGCATTGAGTAGAGCTCTCTGAACTCTTTGAAAGCAGCATGATGCCAGCCCTCTAGTTATATTTCTTTAAGTGTTTACGTTTTTCTGTATTCTCTCTCTTGTATGGCTGGAACCCTGGGGATGCAAAGCCATGAGAGAGGCCAAGAAGCTAACAAAGTAGCTGTCTCCCTTGTTAGCTTGTTCCTTTATTCTTTAAAAACAAGATAAAAACCATCTGGCTCAGGGCATTACATTTTCCTCCCCCATGCACCTCTATAGAGGAGACTTCACCTGCAGTGAGGGTTTACATTGATTAGGGAGGGAGCAGTAATTCAAGCTTCCATCCTCTTCAAGGATACTTTGCAATCTTTAAGGTGCTGACCCACTGAGTTAAACTGTCAAGGGAGGATAAAAAAGTATCTCCCTCCCAGGAGGTAACAGCTGCCAGGTTTTCAACACCTTGCAAGCTGCTGGAAAAAATGTCACAATTGTCAGCTGAAAGAAAAATGACTTTGTTGTCATCTTCTGTTAATGACTGGGCCTTATAAAAGGAACTACATTTCCTTTCAGAAGGAATAAGTGGCTGTTTTCCTTGCCTTCTATATATCCCTCCTCTCAAAAATTCCTACGGTTCTCACTTGAAGTAGAACCACAAAAACCAGCATTGAGGAGCTAAAAGTTAAAACAGCCAGGACAAGCAGGGAAGTCTGATGGGCATAGCTTCTTTCTACAGTTGGTTGAATAGGAGGAAAAAACATTTCACTGACACAGAAAATGACATTATAGTGTGTATTAACAAAACAACAACAACAACAAAAAGTCATTCATAAGCCAGTGAACTGAGAGAAA